AGGAATCAATGGAAACGATTATCTGATGAAAATGTTTCAATTGTAAGTATGATTTCCTTATTATCAAATGCGACTACTTTTAAAATTATAATTTTATCATTACAATACACACTTGATTACTTTGTATTCAATAAAAATTATAAACTTTGAATTTACTTTAGGATAGGAGTATCGAAAATTAGACAACATTTTAATTTATACACTTAAATCCATATAAACACCACCAGCTGATCCCAAGTGTCACCAAAATTATCATTATAAAAGAACTGTATATTCTTCGTCTATATTTCGAACAAATCATATTTAAATGAAAAATGTTGTGATTTTAAAAAATAATGTTAAATTTAAATAAATAGTCTATGTGCTTCAAGTAATATCAATAGATTTATGTCCAAATATTGTTGAGCTATTTAATATAATTATATTACAGTATATTATAATAAAATTGTTATGAATTGTATTTTATAGTTGCACTCAATGTGAATAGAGTTCAACACATTTGGCAATTTTTATTAAATTCATTTCCATTATATTTTAAAACTGTTACCAACATATATTTTTGTAATTCTAAAATAAAATTTAGTAATTTAAAATCCATATTGTTATACATATTAAATAATTGCAAACAAATGTTTGTTTATAAGGTCAATGAGTACTTATGCCAAGGAATCAATGGAAACGATTATCTGATGAAAATGTTTCAATTGTAAGTATGATTTCCTTATTATCAAATGCGACTACTTTTAAAATTATAATTTTATCATTACAATACACACTTGATTACTTTGTATGCAATAAAAATGACAAACTTTGAATTTACTTTAGGATAGGAGTATCCAAAATAAGACAACATTTTAATTTATACAATTAAATCCATATAAACACCAGCTGATCCCAAGTGTCACCAAAATTATCATTATAAAAGAACTGTATATTCTTCGTCTATATTTCGAACAAATCATATTTAAATGAAAAATGTTGTGATTTTAAAAAATAATTATGTTAAATTTAAATAAATAGTCTATGCGCTTAAAGTAATATCAATAGATTTATGTCCAAATATTGTTGAGCTATTCAATATAATTATATTACAGTATATTATAATAAAATTGTTATGAATTGTATTTTATAGTTGCACTCAATGTGAATAGAGTTCAACACATTTGGTAATTTTTATTAAATTCATTTCCATTATATTTGAAAACTGTTACCAACATATATTTTTGTAATTCTAAAATAAAATTTAGTAATTTAAAATCCATATTGTTATACATATTAAATAATTGCAAACAAATGTTTGTTTATAAGGTCAATGAGTACTTATGCCATAACCTCCACCTCCAGGCGATTCCAAATGAAAGACATCGCCAGCACTTACAGGCACTGAATTCTTAGCCCCGAGATCTACAGTCCGTCCATTTCTGTGAAACTTTAATAGATTTTTGCCTCTCTTTCCCGGTTCTCCTCCTAATAATTAATTCTTAAATATTAATCATTTTTATCGCAAACAAACAAACTCTTTGCAAACAAACCCTTCATCCCATAGGGAGAGTATACACGTCTCTCTGTAAGCACTGATAGAATGAGATTTTTACGAAACATAAGCTCACGAATAACACCATTCCCTCCATTGAATCTTCCCTTTCCACCCGAACCTGGATTTAGAGTAAACTTTTGAACTATAATAGGGTATCGTTTTTCTAGAATCTCAATGTCTGTAATCC